TGCATACAAGTCTTTCGATTGATCTCTTATCTCCCCCATATCTCCCCACCCTCCCCACTGTAATTTGACAGTCTTGTTTGTTGCTTTACTGTCTCTGTATCTATCTTTTGGTTCATCAGTTTATAATGTTCTTTATTATCCACAAATGAGTGAGATCATTGACTGGCTTATTTCACTCAGCATAATGTTCTCCAATTTCATCCAGGTTTCTGCAAATGATAAGATTTCCTTTTTTTATGGCAGCATAGTATTCCATTGTGTAGATGTACCAAAGTTTTTTGATCCAATCATCTGCTGACGGGCACCTAGGCTGTTTCCAATCCTAGCTATTGTAAATTATGCTGCTATGAACATAGGGGTGCATATATCCTTTTTGATTTGTGTTTCTAGTTTCTTAGGATATATTCCTAGGAGTGGGATTATTGGATCAAATGGGAGTTCCATTTTCAGTTTTTTGAAGAAACGCCACACTGTTCTCCACAGTGGTTGAATCAGTCTGCATTCCCACCAGCAGTGCACGAAGGTTCCTTTTTCTCCGCATTCTTGCCAGCACTTGTCGTTTGTTGATTTATTGATGTTGGCCATTCTGACAGGTGTGAGATGGTACCGCATTGTCGTTTTGATTTGCATCTCTCAGATCTCTGCTTTTAGAGAGCAAATAAAAAACTTTGGGTTGGACGACCCATTTCTCTCTCTCTCCCATGCCTGTATCTTTCCCCACCCCCTTCTCAGATGTGCTTTTTCTCTCTAGAGCATGCCCATGCATTTTCCTCCCATGTTCTTCTCCCAGGCACATTACCTTTGCCTTTCTTTCTCCTTAGTTCTAAAGACCACTTTTTGCCTCTGTAACTTATTTCCTGAGCCCATGCACCCAACCTGGCTCACTTTTTTTCTTTTTTTTTTTCACTTCTTGTACTTCTGTTACTTTCCAAATAAACTTTTGCTTGTATTTGAGTCATGTCTCTCGATTATTTCTTAGCTCAGAGCTCAAGTACTGAGGTTGCTGATAACCTTCTGCTGTTTGTTTAGCTGTTAACAAGTTCATTTTTATTGATGAGTAGTATTCCTCTGTGTGAATGTAATACAATTTATCTCTTTTTTAAAAAAATATATATTTTATTGATTTTGTACAGAGAGGAAGAGAGAGGGATAGAGAGTTAGAAACATCGATGAGAGAGAGTCATCGATCAGCTGCCTCTTGCACACCCCCTACTGGGGGCATGCCCACAACCAAGGTACGTGCCCTTGACCAGAATGGAACCCAGGATCCTTCAGTCTCCAAGCTGACATTCTATCCATTGAGCCAAACCGGTTTCGGCACAGTTTATCTCTTGATGGACATTTGGTTGCTTCCAGAGCTCACCTACTATGTATAAGTCTGTTATGGATGTTTATATGCAATGTTTTTTTGAGCATATGTTTTCATTTATCATGAGTAAATTCTTTGAAGTGAAATTACTGAGTCAAATGGAAAAATCTATGTACATCTTTATAAAACCTGCCAATTTCTATTGATTAGTCCATCATATTTCTTTACTATATTCCTCTGTATATAATGTATTTTTTTTCTTTGGCTGCTTTTAAGATTTTATCACTATTTTTTGAAGCAACTTGATTACTAGCATGATATACCTTGATTGTGTGTATGTTGATGTTCATCCTGTTTTGAGTGTATTAAACTTACTTAATATGTGTGTTTATAGTTTTCATCTAATTTGAAAAAATTTTAGTCTTTCTCTCCCTTCCCCCCCCCCCCCCGCCAAAAAAAAATATTTTCATGGCCCTTTAGGACCACTCTGTCTTCTATATATAAACCCAGCCAGTGGCCTGAAGTATGGATGCTGTCTATAGTACTTGAAAAAAGTTCTCTGTTGAATGTCTTTGACTGTAGTCTGGCTTCTAGTTCCTGATTTACTCTGGCCTGCCTGCTCTCAGAGAAGCATATTACTCCAGATTAGTATTATGTACTTGCTCCACCAAAGAGGAAGCTGTAAGTCCCCGCTGAGTCATTGGTTTGTTGCTGTGGTGTCATCTTGTGGACTTGCTGCTTTCATCATCACTGGAGTTGGTGTACAACTTACCTTTCTCTGTCTCTTGCATAAATTTTTTTTAAAGTGTAGTCTAGCTATGATTTCTATACTAGATGTGTTATTTACTGTTCATCTCTATTTTTTAATTTATCTGCAAGCTAGTGTTTGTTTTATCAGTGGCATTTTATCTAATAAAATGTCCTTTTCTCAGAGGACTATAATGTAGTGGTTAACAACAGTATGGGTTTGAGTGCCATGTTACTTATATTGGAATTCCAAGTCTAGTATTCTCTGAGGGAGCTCAGACAAGTTTTTAGCTTTTCAAAAAAGACTTGTATATGTTATTTGCAATTTGTGAAGATTAAGCAATTTGTGTTCAGTGCTTAGAACAGTGCCTGGCATACCAAAACATATGAACTATTATTGCTTTTTTAGAGGTATATTTTTCATAATGCTCCAAGGTGTATGGTTAGGTTACTTGTATTATTATTATTATTATTATTATTATTATTATTATTTTTACCAAGAGGTATCAGGGTAGGAGTGGGAGGGGGGGAGGGGACCAAGAGTACAGATCCAACAAGGGATCTGGATAATGAATCAGACACAACCTATCAGATTATCTTGTTAAGAATTAGTCTACAAAGCATGCTGGCTAGCCACTTTTTTCTTCAGCCTCTTCCAGTTGTAATGACCAATGTCAACCTCTTATAAACTCAATTTTGCTTAGTTTCTGAGTTGGCCTGATTATGTTACATTGGTTATTAATTTATTGGTTGCTTTTGCAACTCTATAAATAATATATTTGTTCACTTATTTTTGTTATTTTTTAGCACATAACATATGTGTACTTATTGATTCATAGAGTATACATGTATACTAATGTATATAATACTAACATTATACATCTTATGTAAAACATATTACCAATAAAAGATACAATATAATGATACATGAAAATATTTTCTTCCTGTGCCCCAGAAGGGTTGTCTTGTACCTCTCATGTTGGGCCCCACTGCTTTCAATCCTGGTCCTAGAACAAGCACCTGATCTTCACAAGAGAGACTGTGGTGTCAAAAAGGAATGAAACGCTCTTGGCCCATGCTTTAGGTAAGTGATATCTTGCTGAGCTGTCCCCCACTTGTATTTAAGTTAGAAGTGTGGATTGTATGTTATCTAATAATACTTCACTTGACGTCTCCTGCTTGAGTAACCAGAAGAATCATGTGGAAATGGAGTCTGTAAGAGAATAACTCATATTTTATTTACTATGACCTCCTCTAAGGGACACTAGGGTGCACTAGGACACTGAGGACACCCTGGGTGTGGAGTGACACCTGTTGAATTCAAGCATGAATGAATAAATGATTGAACAATTGAGTGAATATATGAAAAACATTTTTAAGCAACAGGCAAAGCACAATTAAGATGTGATTCTCACTTGTCTGTAAGACATCTCCATTACTAGAGTTGTTCATTTATTTATTTTTATTTTATCTCTATTATGGTGTCTATTTTCATGAAATATATTTCCATCCCTTGAAGCTGAACTGGGTCTCATAGGCAACACGTAGTTTGGTCTTTTTTATTTATTTATTTATTTATTTATTTATTTATTTATTTATTTATTTTAATTCCTTTAACCTTTCTAATTTTTTAAATGGAGAATTTAATCCATTTTATTTAATGTAGTTATCGATAGGTACAAATTTGCTATTGTCATATTTATTGTTTTCTGATTGTTTTATAATTTTTTTTCTCTTGCACTCTTTACTCATGTTCTTATGATTTTCTGTAGTGGTATGCTTCGATTTATTCCAGACAGAACTGTTCCATGTGTAGCTGTAGATTTGATGTGTCTGTGGGAGGTGAGTTCAGGAGCTTCCCGTCTCACTAATTTGAACCAGAACATGATATTATTTTCATTCTTCACTGTGACATTAGTGTATTTTATTAATAGTCTACTTTTAAAAATATAAATTTTTATTGATTTCAGGGAGGAAGGGAAAGGAAGAGAAAGAGAGAGAAGCATCAATAATGAAAGAGAATCATTGATTGGATTCCTCCTGCTTGCCCCACGCTGGGGATCGAACCTGCAACCCTGGCATATGCCCTGACTCGGAATCGATCCGTGACCTCCTGGATCATAGGTTGATGCTCAACCATTGAGCCACGCTGGCCGGGCTATTTAAGTCAGGGACCGTGATGGTGACTTTATCACAGGACGTCACACTTTCATTTCCTTTGTAGTAACAATACCATTTTCTCTCATCTATGAAAATTTTGGAATTTAATCAATAGCTCCACCACCTCTTTCTCAACACCAAAACAAAGGTTTTTTTTTTTTTTTTTTTTTTTTTGTCTTTACATACAATCTAAATACACTGTGTGCATTAAAAGCTTTTAATCATTGGTCACATTGTCTTTTACCATTTTGCACACAACATACTAACTATAGAGGACTTTCTCGGGCAGAGCTTACCTCAAGCACGTAACTGGCTTGAAAATATAAAATCCAGAAAAAGAGAAAAATGAGAGCATGTTTATTAACTTCCCCCCCCACTTGTTAACTTGTATTTTAGATTCTCCTTTGGAGTAAAACGGGCTCTTCAACTGTTTACAAGGCAATTTCCGAGTTGTAATAGCTTCATGTTTTTCTACTGTGTCCTCGCATTTAAGGCTGGCTGCCACAAACAGACAGAAAGTGCAGTACCCTTTTTCTTACATCTATACTGGAACCTTAGCAGCAGCAGTAATTGTTCCAAGTCTGTCAGATGCATTAAATTTTATTAGGTATAATGATTATTCTGTTATGGTATTGCTAATTTTTATGTTTAGATAAATAAAAATAAGTTGAATAATTCCACAGGATACATTAATTACTGATTTCAAGGTACTTATGGAAATTTCTACTGTTTTTGGATGTTGCTTTCTCAAGTTCCTCTTTTTCTTTACTCCATCTCCTAGAGTGAAACAAAGGAAACTCACTTTTAGAAAGACTTCTTCTTTTGAGTCGAGCCTTTTACATTGAGAGCTTTATAGTCTCACTGGAATGGTAAGACTGACGTTTAATCTCAAGTATTTCTGAATATATTATTTTACCCACAGAATATACCCTGGAAAAAATATGAGACATCTGTTTTTCCCTGACACTGGACAGCAAGAGAGTTAACACACAATGGGGCAAGAAGGATCTCAAAATAAGCGTGAGTACTTCTCTCTTTTTTAATTTTAAAGAGGCAGATAAATTTATGACTAAGATTTAAAAATAAAGTTGATAGTTGTAGTTGTGAAGACTAAAAATGATGATATGGGGAGGAGAAGGTGGGAGAAAACGAGAATTACTTTGATGAAGAAAAAGGCTATAAATAGATTTTATTGATAATACACTAGGAAATAGAAACTTTTTTGTAAAACATAAATTGGGCCAAGAGAGGAGTTAAGGTATGTAAAGTATAAAAGAAAAATGGGATGGAAGGGAAGAGAGTAATATGGGAAGGTTCTCTTAAAGGGAAGTGACAAAAGATGTAGAAAACATCCTGACTAAGGCTGTTCCTGATACTTTAACTTCCCATTTTATGTTTTACTAAAGTGACACAAATGGATTTGTATTATGAGAACATTAAATAATATTTTGAGAAATATATAGAGCATATGCAGAAATATGTAATTTTAAAATTAATGTTTCACTTTATCTCATTATCACCCCCTGGCAAACTTCAATGGACCCATAATGAATGATGGTACTGAAAAAAACAAACACGTTTTTTATGCAACAATAGGTCTTAGAGATTTTTTTATGACAATACATTCTGATAAACTTGACTATTTTAATTACCATATAGAATTCTATCATATAAATTCATCATAGTTTAAAATATATACTATTGACAATACATATACAATATTAGGTTTCAGTGTTTTTTCTATTTCCAAAGTATTCCATTTAAATAATTTAGTTATTTCTACAGGACAAATCTCTAAAAATGAGATTTGTAAAGTATATGATTATCTAACCACTATGTTGTATACCTGAAGCTACTACAAAATAATACTGAATGTAAACTATAATTTAAAAACAAAATTAAAAATAAAAATGAAATTGTTATGGCAAATATAATGCATTTAAAAATTGATAAATGTTGCTTACTATCTGTTTAAATGGCTTTCTAATTTATAGCTCAGCAGTAGCACTTATTTTCTTACCTAGGATGTTATAGTTTTAATTTCCTTTAAAAACTCTGATATGTGAAAAAAACATGCCATGATATTTTAGTTTACATTTCTCTGATTGAGCCTATTTTTATTTGTTTAAAGGCCATTTATTATGTCAACAAATTAAATTTTCATCAAACTTTTGCTGTTTTCTAATTAATTTGAAAAGTTCTTTATACAGTCTGGATATTAATATCGTGACATAATTTATTCCAGGCATTCCTTTTAACATTGTTACATAGAAGTTTTAATGTTTTTAAAGATATCATAGCTTTATTTTTTTTAATTTTAATTTTTTATTTATAATCCTCACCAGAGACCAACCATGCTTAGGGAGAGGAAGGAATAGAGAGAAAGAGCGAGAGAGAAACATTGATGTGAGAGAGAAACATCAACTGGTTGCCTTCTGTGCATACATTAGCCAGGGAATCAAACCTGAAGCATTTCAGTGTACAGGGCAATGTTCCTACCAATTGAGCCACTCCAGCCAGGCAGAAGTTTTAATTTTTATGTACCCAAATTATCAAATTTTTACAAATTTTGTGTCTTCCTTATAAAAAGCCTTTCTTATTAAAACAGTTTACATGTTATTTATTTATTTATAAACTGTGAAATTGGTTTATTCAGGGAAAATTGTTAAGCTCTCCTCCACATCTGAAATATTTTTGGATACTCTCATCATATTTAGCTTGTTCCTAGATAGAATTGGTTTCCGTAGCTCTAGAGGCTGAAAAGCAGGTAACCTATTTATCTTTCTTTATGTCCTGGTAGAAGGAGGCCAGCATTTCCAGCTAATCTCTTGGGTCATTGCTGTTGTTTTCATCTCACTTCTTGGTGCCTGCTGTATTGCAAATTGTTTGGGTAAGTTAGCAAAAGTAGACCTCTCCTTGAAATAGTTCCTTAAACAAATTTTATAAAGTTGCGCCAAACATTTTGTTATCTTGATTTTCCTCAACATAGCAAGCTATCATGTCTTCAGGGTCTCTGGTTTAAAATTCAGATCTACATACTAGATCTGCTATTCTTTGATGCTGCTGCCTTGTGTCAGGAAATGAAAGATAGAATTTAGATCCTTATCTATACATGTGAAAGTTGGTGACCAGCAAATCAGCCCTCATTTTGGAGTGGGATTGCAAAGGGCTGCTTTGTATGAATAAAGAGTAACCAGCAAAAAATCAACAACTTTCAGATGGACTTTAAAAGTCTGGCTTTAAAAAGAATAGTTGGGAGACCTGTTCTTTCCAATATCAAGACCTTGTATAAAGTTATTATAATTAAAGTAATATAAGTGCAAATAAAGGCAAATAGACCAGAAGAAAGGAATAGAGAGCTTAGTTACAGATTCTGCATATATAAGTTCTTTATATAAAACAGAAGGGGTAATTGCAGGGTTATAGAAAAAGGGTAGTTTTATTATTCAATTAATGGTGTAGAGACAATTGATTATCCATGTTTTAAAAATGAAATTGGTCTCCTGTCTCACATCATGTACCAACAGGCTCATAAAACTATAGAAATAACCCTGTGTTCACCAAAAATCGCCACGCTAACTCCAAGTCTAATAGAAAAATATGCTTAAAAGCACGTGCACATAAAAGTTTGAAAAACTACCCCCAAAAAGCACAAAATGGACAATCTATGTATATAAAAGCTTAATATGCAAATTGTCCCCTTGGGAGTTTGACCAGGAGTTCTATCATTCGCTATGACTTGTGCTGACCACCAGGGGGTGGTGCTGAATGAAGGAAGGCCCCAGCTGGCAGCCAGCAACTGGGGAAGGAAGGGTCTAAACTGGCAGTTGAACATTCCCGAGGGGTCCTGGATTAGGAGAGGGCACAGGCTGGGCTGAGGGACACCCCCACCCATGCATGAATTTGTGCACCAGGCCTCTAATATGATAATAAAAATATTAATTTCAACAATATCTTTCAACCAATTCACCTGGAGCTACAACAGAGGAACTGCATAAGGAGAAAGGTTAGAGCAGTTAGCTCCCATTTTCCAAATTACGTGATTATATAGGAAAAGGAAATGAACATTTTTTTCTCCTTGGCAGTGACTCATACCAACTTTCTACGCTGTAGGAGAAGCACTGAAGTGTCCAAGTTAGGAGGACACCGCATAAACCTGACATGCATCGAGGAAAAATCAGACCTGAAAGGTATAGGTGGCAGAGACACATGAGAGAATTTCTTTCTCATTTCCACTTCCATTAAAATTCACAATCGGATTTAAAGTAGATCTGTAGGCAACCAGGAGAGATTAAAATAACGTAACTGAGAATCTGGCACAAGAGTACGCATCAATAATTGAGATAGAACTATAATATTTCTCATGACAGTCATCAGTCAAATAACTGGAGAAAGTATAATTTAATTCCATATCTTTTGATTCACACATATTATAAGGACTGTTCCCTCTGACTCTCGTCTTTATTGCTTTTATTATTCTGGAATTTATAAAGTCTCCTTTTGAAGAATGGGACACTGCTTGAGAGTTTTAGTGTATTCTTCACACCTGTTAGATAAAATGTCCTGTAAAACACTCTGTTATGAAAACACTTTAAAAGGGAATGCAAATAGATGCAGGGATACTGAAGAATGATCATCCTTTCTAAGAAAATATATTGTAATATTCTAATTGTCAATACATGATTTCAATACTCTTGTGTAGGAGATATTTTGAAATGTAATTAGAAATATTTTTAAAAAGGGAAACAGAATGACTTTGGTAATCTTGGTAACTGGACACTAGATAAATGGTAACTGGACACTAGACAGTAGAATAGTTATGCAATCTGTTATAGATGAATGCTCCCTTGTAACTAACTTTTATTTCAATATCCTCATGAGGGAACATCTGGAATTGCTGTCCTATTGGCTGGAGAGCCTTCCAGTCCAGCTGCTATTTCCCTTTTCATGACAACAAGACATGGGCGGAGAGCGGGAGGAACTGTACCAGGCTAGGGGCCCACCTGGTCACCATCAGCACAGAAGCTGAGCAGGTATGTGGGGTGGCTCCCATCAGTTTCTCTGCTGCTTTGAATCTCTTTGCAAAGAGAGAGGACTTTTTCTGCTCTGCCATGTTTCTGTGCCTTTGCTTCATCTGTTCCATGTGCCTGGAAAGCCTTTTCTTCCTCTCTTATTTTCTGTGTGTGTGTGTGTGTGTGTGTGTGTGTGTGTGTGTTTTAAATAAATGTTATTGATTTTTTTTATATAGAGAGGAAGAGAGAGGGATAGAGAGTTAGAAACATCGATGAGAGAGAATCATCGATCAGCTGCCTCTTGCATACCCCCAACTGGGGATGTGCCCGCAACCAAGGTACATGCCCTTGACCTGAATCGAACCTGGGACTTTTCAGTCCGCAGGCTGATGCTCTATCCACTGAGCCAAACCGGTTTCGGATCTCTGTGTGTTTTGTTGTTGATGTTGTTGTTTGTTTTTTAAATTTATTTTAGAGAAAGAGGAAAGCGGGGGAGAGAGGGAGAGAGGGAGAGGGAGAGGGAGAGAGAGAGAGAGAGAGAGAGAGAGAGAGAGAGAGAGAGAGAGAGAGAGAGACATTGACTGACTGCCTCCTGCACAGCTACCACCAGGTATGAAGCCTGCAACCTGGGCATGTGCCCTGACTGAGAATTGAACCAGTGACTTCATGATGCACGGGTTGATGCTCAACCACTGAACCACACTGTCTGGGTCCTCCATTATTTTCTTAATGTGACCAACTTCTTCAGATCTTTCCAGATGTCATACATGTATTATTTCCTAGAGAAAACTACCCTGACCATCTTCCCTACTCCACGCTCCCTACTCTAAGTCGGAGGTATTTTATGGTACTTAGTGCACTGTGTGATCATGCACTTACTTTAGTGTCCTGCAGTTGTCTGCTTAATACTACATCTCTTCCAATGATTTCCACTTTGTAGAAGGCTGAGGCCATGCCTTACTCATCTTTGTATCGCTAATGTCCTACACAGTGCTAGGCACTCTGGCTAAGTCTTAATAACTATTTGGTGATTAAGTGACTAAATGAATGGTTAATTGATACTAAAAGAGCTATAGGATAAAGCATAGAAAAAATAATTCAGATGTATAGTTGTAATTTTAAATAAGAAAACCTTAATGTAAAAATGGAAATTTATTTTCTCATGTAATATATTTCCATATATATATATATACCACAACTCACATTCTACCCTTTTGTTGATCACAAGGATTTCCTGGAGAATTCTGTCTTCATGGCCTTCCAATCTATAGGCGGACTCTTTGGATAAAATGGGATTTAATAAAATATGCAAACAAAGAGGGAAAATTTAAAAACAAAAGTTCCTGATAATCAGAGCCTATTAAACATTTGCTAAATAGTTTGCAAGTAGACCTCAGTTAATCTTCAAAATAACTCAGTGAAGTAGTAGAATTATCTCTTTTGAAGATAAGGAAACTAGGGTTTGGTGAGATTTAAAGCATTTTCTAACATGACACAGTAAACAGCAGAGGTACAATAGGATATGAAAACAGATTCACCTGGTGTCAACCCTTTTTGCTTAAGTAGTAATCTATTCAACCTCTTTCCTTTTTTCCTATCATCTCTCACATGATAAATGCAAATAAACTTATAAGAATTTATAATTTTTTTATACAGAAATTTATTACTCAATTTTTGGATAGACGATTTTCATATTTCCTGGGACTTTCACATGAGAATCCTGAAGGCCTTTGGCAATGGGTGGACAGGATGCCATTTAACTCGAGTATGGAGTGAGTATACTGACTGGGATGGCAGAGCTTAACAGGCAAAGATGGGAAGAAGGTAGCAAGCAGAATTCAATTTTGGGTGTAGCACACCAATGTAAAAGTGCTTACTCAGCACCATGTGTTATGTAACCTCTATACTAATAAACTACTACTACACTTGTGTTGGGCAGTGCAGCTCTAAATTTCTCACTTAAGGGCATTTTGGGTCATTTTCTTTGCATAGTCCCCTAACACACACACACAATGTGTGTGTGTGTGTGTGTGTGTGTGTGTGTATTACATATACTTTTTTTTTTTCATTTTTTTTTTTCATTTCAGATTCTGGCATAAGGGTGAACCCAATAACCATCAGGAAGAAAATTGTGTTGTCCTTGTTAATGACCAAAACAAATGGGCCTGGAATGGTTTTTCTTGTAACTTTGAGGCAAGTAGGATTTGTAAGAAACCTGGAAGAATACTCGCCTGAAAGCTATGAAGAAGTTCTTGTGATGCGGACAGGGAAGAAGAACCCATTAGACCAGGGAAGAATGTACATGCACCACTGGAATAGAGAAAACATACTAGATCACAGAACATTTTCAGTCATGATGGGACTTATTTATTCAGTTCATTCAAGATAATGTGTTTTTGTGTAGTGCTTTATTGGAATTTGTGCAGGAGGGGGATGTCCCTCAGCTCGGCCTTCACCCTCTCCAGTCTGGGACCCTTTGGAGGATGTCTGACTGCAGGTTTAGGCTTGATCCCTGCTTAAACTGGTAGTCAGACTTCCCTTTAGAAATCCAGGACCACTGGCTCCTAACCACTCACCTGACTGCCTGCCTAATGCCCGCAACTGTCCTTCCTGCCAGCTTGATCACCCACAACTGCCCTCCCCTGCCGGGCCTTGTATATGTTGTGCCCACAGCCATCTTGTGATGACATTAGGGCATGAGGGTGTGACAACCACCTAGGCAACAGCATGGATGAACCTAGAGAACATTAATTATACTACTGTGCTTCCCTGAAAATAAGACATCCTCCGAAAATAAGACCTACTTACAGGTTTCCTTCTCAGTGAAATATAAGGCATCCCCTCCAAAATAAGCCCCCCCCCCAGGCTAAACATGAGAGATTTGGTCCACTGATTCTGAAAGAAATGGTGTCACAAGAAATTCACCAGGAAATTCAGGAATTTGATTGTTATAATGATGTTCCAGAAGATGATGACATGAATGTCATTGAATAAATGAGTAAATTCTTGATACTGTAGGATTCACAGTTTGTCTGATTTGTGTTGATAACTACCGTACTACCATACCGTATACAGGTAATAAATTTCCTTTATTTTCATTTAACAATAAATGTGTACCGTATTCTTCTTCATGGAAAAATAAGACATCCCCTGAAAATAAGACCTAGGGCATCTTTGGGAGCAAAAATTAATATAGACACTGTCTTATTTTCGGGGAAACAGGGTAAGTGAAATAAGCCAATCAGAGAAAGATAAGAATCACATAATTTCACTCATATGTGGAGTCTACTGAACAACATAAACTAATGAACAAAAATAGACCCAGAGACAGAGAAACATGGAACAAACTGTCAAGCCTCAGAGGGAAGGCAGGTGAGGGTGGAGGGAGGGAGAGATCAACCAATGAACTCATATGCGTATATGCATAACCCATAGACACAGATGATAGGTTGGTAAAGGCTTGATGGGGAGTGGGGTGGAAGAGGGAAATGGAGGGGAAAGGGATATATGTAATACTTTCAACAATAAAGATTTATTTAAAAATAAAAAATAATGGTTGTGGAACATATCTGAGAGTAATCCTAGCACAGGGTTCCAAGAGGATTATTTTCCCCTTGAAAATTTATTTCTGACAGAAGTTATTTGCAGACCAGACTGTCTAAAGGAAATATAAAGCAAGTCAAAAATGTGAGTTACCTATGCTTAAATTTTTATTTTTTTATTTTTATTTATTTATTTATTTTTACATATTTTATTAATTTTTTTTGCCCCCCTTCCTCCCTCCCAGACATCCCCTCCCTCCCCAGAGTTTTGTGTCCATTGGTTGTACTTATATGCATGTATACAAGTCCTTCGGTTGAATGCTTAAGTTTTTCAATAACCATGTCAAAAAAGTATTCAAATAATTTATTTATTTAAACCTTTATTCCTAAAATATTATCATTTTAGCATGCAATAAATATTAAATTATTAGTAATACATTTTACATTTCTTTCCAATTTAGTCATCTAAAATCTGGTGTATATTTTACACTTTCCAGCATATCTCAACTAGGACTAGTGCTCAGTTCAGTGACTACAGTCCTGGATAGCTAAGTATAGAGATGATATAATTAGTGACATAGAAAATATAAGGGGATCTATAGCTAAAGAGTTAAAAAAAATAATAGTGGAGTTTAGCAAAGTTTCAGAATAAATGATCAATATATAAAGATCAACAATGCTACTATATAGTACCTGCAAAATATAGAAAATGTATTTTTATGTAAAACATTACACTTACAACAGCAATCCTATATAATAAAAAAGTAATATGCAAATTGACTGTACCTCTGCTACACCCACAAGCCACACCCACCAACCAATCAGGAGTGAATATGCAAATAAACCCAATCAAGATGGCTTCAGCCACAGAGAGAGCAAAAGGGAGGCTTGGGTTTCCCCAGCAATGGAGGAAGCTAAGCTTTCTGCCTGCCCTGGCCAGCCTAGGCCTCCATTCAACACTATAAAGTTTCAATGATAGAAGATAAATAAATAAAAAATGATGCCACCACAGAATTGGAGTGAACAGGAAGCTTGAGTTGCCCCTGGAGATGGAGGAAGCCAAGCTTCTGCAGCCCTGGCCTGCCTTGGCCTCTGCTTAAGGTTACAAAGTTTCAGTTATAGAAGATAAATAAGTCCCAACAAAATGGCAGCAGCCACGGAGCTGCAGAGAGCAGGTGGCTTGAGTTGCTCCCAGACATAGAGGAAGCCAAGCTTTCCGCCTGCTCTGGCTGGCTGGCCCAGGCATCCACTCCAGGCTCCAAAATTTCAATTATAGAAGATAAATAAATCCCAACAAAAATGGCTTCAGCTACAAGTGAGCAGGAGGCGTGGCTCTAATCAAGGCTATAAAATCTCAATTATAGAAGATAAATAAATCCCAGATACCAGGCCTTGGGTTGGGTCACCAGGGGGCATGGCCAGCCTGTAAACCACCACAGACTCCTTGCCCAGGCCACCCCATACCCTAAAGGAACCCCACCCTGATCTGGGACACCCTTCAGGGCAAACCAGCTGGCCCCCACCCATACACCAGGCCTCAATCCTATCTAATCCTATCTAATAAAAGAATAATATGCAAATTGAGTGTCACTCAAGATGGTTGCCCCCATGTGGTCAGAGATGACTGCCCCCATGTGGACACAAGATTACCACCACAAGATGGCCAGCAGGAGAGGGCAGTTGGGAGGGACCAGGCCTGCAGGGGAGGGCAGTTAGGGGTGACCTAGGCATGAATGGGAGAGCAGTTGGGAAGGGGGACCAGGCCTGAAGGGGAGAGCAGTTAGGGGTGACCAGGCCTTCAGGGGATGGCAGTTAGGGGCAAATAGGCTAGTAGGGGAGTGGTTAGGAATCAATCAGGCTGGCAGGGGAGTGGTTAGGGTGTGATCATGCTAGCAGGCAAAAGCAGTTGGGGGCAATCAGAAAGGCAGGCAAGCAAGCAGTTAGGAGCCAGTAGTCCTGGTTTGTGAGAGGGATGTGCCAGATTGGAGAAAAATGCAGGCTGGGCTAAGGGACACCCCGACCCCCTACTCCCCATATACGATTTCGTGCATTGGGGCTCTAGTATAACTATGAAATACCCAGAATAAATGATCAAGTGTGCAAGTTTTATGGACAAAACATAATTTCAAGACCTGTAAACCAACCTGCTAAGGCTTGACTGTGTGACGTTCCTCACCCCTTAGTGTACTCTGTGACTCCTCCAGTTGATCCTCCTACTTGGGCTCAGACACCCATGATACCCAAATTAGCTCAGGCTTCCACATTTTGGGTCAACCAATCACTTTACCAGATGGCCTCTGGAATCCAATAAGTCCCCCACACCCTTATTACCCTTCCTGCCCCCACCCTTCCCCTTACACTGATGCACCCTGTCAGGTTCTAAATCCCTGTGGGGGTAATTATGCACTCCCCCCACCCAAACTCACCCCTATACATGCATATGTATAAGCTACCTTGCTCTGTACCACCTGTTGAATGACTTTAGTATTGTATCATTAAGAAGAAAAAATGGGATTGGGAAAAAGAGAAAATAAAAGAGCAAGAAGAATATTTTATATGATTCTTCATAATTTTTATTTACTTCAGAGGTATCTTCAGGAAATAATTTTTTTTGTGTTAGCTTATAAAGCCAAAACATTCTTGAAGTTTCAGAATTTTTTATTTTCACTTCAATTTGTTATTTGTTAATTTTAAATAAAGTTGAATTTAATATTTTAAAAGTATCATCTGCTATATGATTGTTTTCTGAGTGTGTGTGTATGTGTGTGTGTGTGAGTGTATTATGTTTTTTCCTATACACTCTTCCTTTTTACTTAAAGGAAACACTTTACAGCTTCTATTGGCATATTTGAACTGCCAGTATCACTTACTCCTGCCCTTTGAGGCCATTATTAAGTAAAATAAAGGTTACTTGAATACAAGTACTTCAATACAACAGCAGTTGATGTGGTAATGAGACAGTGACTAATGGGCAGGAAGTATATGCAGTGTGGAAACATGACTCTGGACAAAGGGGTGATTCAGGTCCTGAGCAGAGTAGGATGGTGTAAGATTTTTATTATGCTACTCAGAACAGTGAGCAATTTAAAACTTATGAATTGTTTCCTAACATCCTCACCAACACTGGCTATTTTCTCTTCCCCACCCCCCATCACCATTTATACCTCATACCCTTATACTTCTTCCACCTCCTTGGAATTTAGCTCCTGGATATATTCTTTTAAAAGTATGACAGTATAAACATAGGTAAGAAAGTAGAGACTTTAATTGCCTCCATGAAGGGAACTGGGTGGCTGGAGACTGTGGAGGAAAAATGGAGAGAATAGGAAAGAGGGGAGACTTTTTACTTTATATCTCCTTTTACATTTGGATTTTGAATCATGTGAATGGGTTACTCACGTTTTAAAAATAAGACTTAAAAATGGGACTTCAAAAACAAACAAACAAACAAACAAATATATAAATAGTATGAATTGTTTATTTTTATAATTTTCCATTTAATATTTTTGAACCAGAGTTGACTGTAGGTAATTGAAAACATGCAAAGCAAAACCATGAATAAGGGAAAATATAGATATAGATGTGATTTTTTTGCTTTTATTTATTTTTTCAAAATATGTTTTGATTGATTTGAGAGAAAAAGAGAGAGAGAGAGAAACATTGATGATAGATAATCAATCGACTGCCTCCTGCACCCTCCACTGGGTATTGAGCCCACAATCCAGGTATGTGCCCTGACCAGGAATCGAACTGGAACCCTTCCATGCGTGGAACAACACGGCAACCAACTGAGTCACAGCGGCCAGAGCTTTGTCTCTGTATTCTCCTATAATTTCTCACAAATGAAGCAAATGTACCAAACGGGACATGCCTTTCTTTTTACAGTATTTGCTAGATAATTGCTTGGTAAATTCTGAGAAGGCCTGAGAGACTAATACAGAGAAAAATGCACTTCCGTCAGTATCATGAATTATAACATCCAAAAACATTTATTTTTATTTACATCAAAGCAACAAACACAAAGCCCTTCTGAAGTACAAGGCGCACGTTTCTCATGTTGGAGTTGCGGCTGTGTCCATGTTCCTGGTCCTCCTCACCTATACATTTAAGCGGGGCCTTCTGTCCTTGAAGAATTTTCTTTGCTCAAAATGTTTTTTGCTGGCATTTCACAAATCCGAAACATATATAAGAAACAGGCCACATCATTCCAATTCTGCCTGGGGTTTTTAGAGTCCCTTATGGTGGCGCAGTCCTCCACCGTAACTAAGTTGTTGGGCTCCCCTTCGTCCCAGAAGCTGAAAAACATACACACACAAAACATGGGAAATACCATGGGAGAGTTTAAATCCCAGGAACAGGAGATAAAGTCATCTACTTTGTGTTATGTAACTTCGCAACAATTTTGTGAGGAAGGTATTTATAATCTCTGTTTTTACTGACAAAGAAAAGATCTCAGAAAAGCTGACCCATTTGTCTAAGTCATAGAGTTTGTCAGTAGGGAAGTTGAACTGGATCTTTCTGCCTTCTTTCCATTTTGTGATGCTCTCTCATAGACTAGACCTCGAATGAGAGGTTATGGGAATAACGGATGTCTTGGTGGATTTGTTTTCTTTGCACTCATATGTCGTCCCCCGTTTGGTTCCCTTTAGTCTACCCAAAATTTGTATTAATTCAGTGCATATTTCAATGGTGTTACAGTGTAGTAGTGGAGCAACTTTAAAAAGTATTGGGACATGTGGGCTATACTCTCAGAACAGATTGAAGCCCCTCCAATCTTAGTTCCCTCCAATGCTAAGTGAAAGGCATAATATTGATGTAGCTCAGAAAGATATAACTTAGGTTAAATGAGATAAAAATGAAAACTTTGAAAACTCCAAATGCTGTGCTCTAATTCTGTAAAGCCATTATTAAAGAGAAAAGAGATGTTCATTCCATAAAAATCTTCTGTCTTCCGCAAATCACTATTTTTTGTCTCATTTATTACAATTTAGGCGTAGAAGACTATGAATTCCACACTTTGTCTATGATGCATTTTCAAAGTGTTAGTATCTAATTCTCCTTTCTTCTTTCTTTCTTTCTTTCTTTCTTTCTTTCTTTCTTTCTTTCTTCTTCCTTTCTTTCTTTTTTTCTTTTTTTTTCTTTATTGATTTAGAGAGAGAGGGCAAGGAAGAGAGAGGACCATCGGATCAGCTTTTTCCTACACACCCCCTACAGAGGACTGAGCCCACAACTGGGCATATGCCCTGACTAGGAATTGAACTGGTGACCCTTTGGTGCACAAGGTGACACTCAATCAACTGAGCCACACAGGTCAGGGCTACTCACTTTTTCATCTTTATCTATTCACCTTTATTCTTGAGATAGTCTTAGAAAATTAGAGCAATAGGATGGCCCTGAGTATACATCATGGAACAGAAGGAGGTTCTAAGAATTTCCATAAAAAATGGGCTAACTAGGGTTTAGGGTCTTGTTAAATTCTCCTACAAAAAAAATGAGTTAATTACCTCAGAGACTCTTTTAAAGGGGTGCCATCTATCCATTTCCACTGACCGTCAACCACCCGGTCCGTTAGTCCAATATAAAACTCTCTATTTGTAGGTTTTGCATGGAAAAGGAATTTCTATGGAAGATACACAGTAAGAAAAAGGAAAAAAAAAAAAAAAAGGAGAGTGATTATTTAAATTCTAAACAAATGTTGAAGGTGATTGTTATTTAAAGAGATAAAGTAGGACCAAAGATGATAGACACATTACCCTGAAACACAGGTGTTGCCCTAAAATGTACACGCACTCTATCAGCAAATTTCTATTACATTTTGAACATGAAATTTATTTTAATAAACACTACCTTCATAATTATTCAAAGTGTGTATGCATCTTTTGGGGACAATCTATGTTAAGATCATAGAGGATTATCTTCTGATTTTTTTTAAATTGTTGTAAAAATATATACAACATAAAATTAAACCAACAAAAAAGAATCTTCAACAAAGGAATTTCTCAATAATTCAAAGTTTATCTACTGTAACTTGTAGCCAAATCTACCATAGAGATTAACACAAAGCATTATTAATCACAACTTAATGGTAATGGATACTATTTGCTCTGTCTCATTCAAATAGATTTATAAACATAATGGTCATCCTAAAATGGACCCCACTCCTTTTTTTCTTTTTTTCTTTTTCTGCCTTGCTAAGGAACTAAACATGGACATTTTCTTTTTACCCTTAGGCTTTTCTAGAAATGAAAATAAATTAGAGTAGGCATTGACTTACAGAAATAGTAAGAAAAACATGTATTTTAGTATGTTCATTTAAAAAGGTTAATTGTGGTCCACACACCATACACATGTATGGAAAAGGGGATGATCATGTGGGGAATGCTACGCTGACACTCGGGGAGTCTGTACTTGAACTACCTGTTCCTCCTCTGAGTTGATAACCACCAGCTGAGCTCCCAGGCTTGAGCAGTTTTCCACACTTTCTGCCCAAGTTAGGGTGTTAGTAGAAAAAAAATAGCAGCTCGATTGAAAATGTATCCAGCTCAATGGACAGCAATTCTTGACTGGACCTAGGAGGAGAGAAGTTTCCATGAATGTCCTATATGAACTAATTTAAAAAACAGAAAGTTTCATCTGGCCCTATGAAATCTATCATTTATAATTAGAAGCCTTGGAACCTCTTGATCACAATCCTCCACCCCCTTCTTATTACCTAAGACTTTAATAATTCCTTTGAAAGTAAACACAAACAACAATAAATATCTGTGTCTTTTGAGACATAATCCGTACTTTCTAGATATACCATATATAATATCTATTTTAGTTATGCTGTTGATATAGGACCCTGTTAGCTGCTCTCTGACTTGCCACGATCAGAGAAAGTTGTGATGCATTTTATCGGACTGACCTTGAAGCAACCATCTCTCATGTTGCCCAAATAATGTATACTCAACAAAATCTCCAAACTGGTTCTTACAATTATAGAATTGAAGCCTTCAGAGTTTATTAAAAAAAAACAAATAATCCAGTATCTCTTAATTTAATAGTGAGGAAATTATAACCTAAAGAAAGAAGTAATTTTCTAGGGTCCCCAAGAAAATGCTAGAATGTCTCCAATATTTCCTGTCTTCTTAACCAATTCCTCATCTTTATGTACAGTACAGGCAAGATTTCACATTTTGCTTTTGAAAAACAGGACCTACTCAAACTACATTATTTATCCCCAAATCAATCTAGAAGCCAAAAAATATTGATATGTAAATTTTTATGTTTAAATTTGAGGAACATTATACCTGATTCATTATTGTAGCAGTTGAATTCCAGGAAATTCTCATATGGCTGGACCATTTTCTCATCACAGAGTTGAAAGATGTGATATGTCACTGTAAGGAAAAGGGCATAGTTAATATTTACTTTACTACTCCTTTGATAAAATAAATGTTATTATTTTTATATTTATAACAGAATTGCCAACAATTGCCATGTTTTTTTTACTATCTACTTTTCCTTCTGCATGTAGAGGCACTGAGATTTACTTTAAAAAGATGGAATTTACATTTTATGGCTTTCCTAATTTATAAAAATAAATTGTACTTTAGTTCCAGCCCATAGGCCAAGAGGAGACAAGTGTGTTTTCTCTATTATACCAAGTCTAACCCTTCCTTCCAAAAAGTGATTTGTCATGTCTCAGACTAGTCTCATAGAAGGGGTTCTACTAATTAATGACAGAGGTACAAAAGGAAGCACCCAAGGCTACCAAGGAGATGAAAAATGTTGATCATTAAAAATGCATCAGAGGTCACTGAAATTTGCAACAATTCTATGTGTTTCTGGTTTGAGGAATGGCCTGGAAATAGAGGGAAAAGTTAGTATATGAATACTCTTAATGGAAAAAGAGAATCCATAGGCAGCAAGGAAGGATTTATTCCCAATATTCCCCAGGAAGATTGAATTTGACCTTCAGAACTCACCAACACATCTAGCGATAAAACAGGCACCGAGTAGTAGGATGGAGATCCCAGCAGCAGTCCATAAGAAGACTTGGGAAGAGAAGCATCCTCTCTCTGTAGAAAGACACAAATATGGTCAATCTTCCATAATAAATTCTTATTCAACTGTACATATTTCCTTCCACTTACATTGGCTATATAGAGCACTTCTCAAACTTCAGTATATGTAAAAATTATATGGAAGGTTTGTTAAAACACATATTACAGGGGTACAACACAGATTAACCTCCAGAGTTAAGAATTCAGTTAGAGCTGGTATGGTGCCAACAGGTTCCCAGGAGCTGCTGCTGCTGCTGCTGCTGCTGCTGGTTTGGGGACCACACTTTTATGATAGATGCATTACTAATTTCAAGATGGATTCATGAAGTTGGACAGATGTGCAATTTTTCCTTTCCTACACCACTCACATCCCCTTCATTCCCTATATTTTCTTTCTCCCTCTCATCCTCTCACCCTCTCTGTTTTTCTTGTCTCTCTCCCACTCTCCTCTTTCTAGTGCCTCAATTTCCAAACCCATTTGTAAAGCAATCATATAAAACATTGAATCCATCTAGTAGTTCCTCTCCCTTTCCTTCCCAAAACAACATATTACAGACAAGGAAAGTGAGTTCCAGAGTAGTGAAGTACTTTACCCAATGGGACACAGTGAATACAGAGAGGGCAGAAACAGTAGGCTGGCAGCTCTCCCTGAACTCAAGTCTAATGGCCTTCTCAGTATAACATGTACTCTTCCAACAATTTTTAAATGTTTCCTCTGTTTTTCATTCTCTCTCTCTCTCTCTCTCTCTCTCTCTCTCTCTCTCTCTCTCTCTCTCTTTTACTTTACTCTGGGCTTTTCTACAGTCCTGTCCTACTATGTATTTAACACCTCTTCCAAAAAGAAATATCCATGAAAGAAGGAGAATTGCAAATTTTACCTGTGCTCTGTGACGCAGATGATTTGGATGAATTCATTTTTTTCTTTCACTTTTTCTCTCTCCCTCTTCCTCTCTCTCTCCTCAGTTTCTGAGTTCAAGAGTATTTTGTTGGTAAGTTTCAAGGGAACGGAATCTTGAAGAATGAACACTTTATCTGTACTTTAGGAAGTTCAACCTCAAGACATAAGAATATTAATTTGTTTGGTGGTTATGTGTTCAGGTCAGGATTTCTTTTCTTGCATAAGAAGGACAAGGCAGTTTATTGGGCAAGTCAGTCTCCTTACTCCAACAACAAAATGTGGAAGTGATGAAATGGCAAGTGTCAACAGATGTAGGCTGACCTTGAGGAAATCTGAGTGGCTTCAAAAAATATTGCTTGAAATATTTTTGTTGGATAAAATTTCTCTGCCTTCTTCTGTGGTGCCCAGATTTTGTGATCCCCAAAGACCACTAGGGAGCTGAGTTCGAAGCAATAGCAGAAAACCAAAACCTGTATTTCAGACTAGTGCAAGCCCTGTCCCACTCACACCTACAAAGGCATGGCTGGAGAGAGGATGAATTTCAACATATCAATGGGTTTTATAGGGTGGTGATGTCACTGCTTTGGCTGGCCCTGATTAGTTGGGTTAGGGCTAGGGTCCAGTTACACAAAATGGAGGATAGGTCTGCCTTGCCCAACAGTTCAAAATGGAGTTAGGAGTTGCCTCACAGTACAAAATAGAGTCAGGAATTAGCCCCACCCTGCCCTGCCCTGCCTTCTTACTTCCAGGCCTTACTCATCCCTCAATGTTTCCTTGACACTTGTGGAGCCCACCTTTGCATTCCCAGTTTCTTTTTTTCTTTTTCTTTTCTTTTTTTTAAAATATATTTTATTGATTTCTGACAGAGAGGAAGGGAGAGAGATAAAGAGCTAGAAACGTCAATGAGAGAGAAACATCGACCAGCTGCCTCTTGCACACCCCCTACTGGGGATGTGCCCGCAACCAACGTACATGCCCTTGGCTGGGACCTTTCAGTCCGCAGGCTGACGCTCTACCGCTGAGCCAAACCGGTTTCGGCTGCATTCCCAGTTTCACTTTTGGTCTTTACTACCACACAATTGTTAACTGAAAAGGAGAGAGATTTCAAATCTTTATAGCACTTAGCAAAAAGCTGGGCACACAGTGTATTTATAATGTAGCAATGTGAGGGTTTTTTTTTTTTTTTTAATCTCTTATGCTTTTTCTTTATTCTTCATTTGAAGCTCTTGAAGAGCTCCCTCAAGGGATTAATATCCAAAATATAAAGAGAATTCATACAACTCAACCCCCAGCAAACAATCTAATTAAAAATTGGGCAGAGGACCTAAACAGACACTTCTCCAAATAAGACATACAAATGGTCAACATATAAATGTGAAAAGATGCTCAGCTTCACTAGTTTTTAGGGAAATGCAAATGAAAACTACAATGAGATGCCACCTCACATCTATTTGAATGGCTATTATCAACAAGACAATAACAAGTGTTGGAGAGATTGTGAAGAAAAGGATTCACTTCTGGTGGGATTATAAATTGGGACAGCCACTATGGAAAACAGTATGGAGGTTCCTCAAAAATTAAGAATAGAGCTATCATATGACCCAGCAATCCCTTTTCTGGGCACCTACTAAAATTTTTTGAAAACATTTATACACAAAGGTATATGTACCCTTAAGCTTATTGCAGCATTATTCACAATGGCCAAGATATGAAAACAACCAAAGTATCTCTCAATAGATGATTGGGAAAAGAAGATGTGGTACATATATCAGCCATAAGAAAAGATAAAATAGCCTGGCTGGTGTAGCTCAGTGGTTGAGCATTGTCCCAGGAACCAAGAGGCTACCGGTTCGATTCTCGGTCAGGGTTCAGTCCCTTAAGGGGGATGCATGAGGGCCGATCAATGATGTTTCTCTCTCATCAGTGTTTCTATCTCTCTATCCCTCTCCCTTCCTCTCTCTAAAAAATGAATAAAAACATTTAAAAAAATATTCCATTTACTACAACCTGAATTGATCTTGAGAATATCATGTGAAGTGAAATAAGTTAAACAAAAAAAGTAAAAGCCATATGATTTCACTCAACTGTAGAAAATAAAACTGAAAGCAACTAGTTGGAGAGGCAAACGCCTAGTGGTAGCACACAGAGGGGCCCAGGTGCCTTCTGCTGGGGGTGTAATATCATGAGGGCCACACACTGGATCGGAGAGATTGTGGTGTGCCACCGGCCCCATGGAGGGAAAAGTCCCAGTTTCTGCTTTGGGGAATGTGCACCCTTGGTTAGATATGCACACCCGATGGCTGCTTACAGCGGCTCCCAGGAGCCGTCTGCTGGGACAGTGAGCTCAGGAGGCCCTTATGCTCAGGAGCAGCACTACTGTAGGGACTGGACACCAGCGGCCAGGGTTGTGCCTTACGGCAGTTCCAAGAAGTACCCGGGGGCCACCTGCCAGAGCAGTGGGCTTAGGGGGCTTGCACAGTGGATCAGTGTGACTACAGTGACCGGAGGCCAGCAGCTGAGGAGTGGGAAGTCCTAATTTCTGCTGTGAGGCCTTGAGCCTTTGGTTGGATACAAGTTGTGCTTAGTGGCAGCTCACAGCATCACCTAGGAGTTGCCTGCTGGGGCAGTGTCCTTAGGGGGCCTGCATGCTGAAACCACGCAACACAATGTCTGACGTCTGTGGGTAGGCTGCTGGGAAGGGAAAAGTCCAAATTTCTACTGCCGGGGTTGTGCACCCTTGTTTGAATATAAGCGCGCTGAGCTGGGGTTCAAGGAGGAACCCAGGAACTGCCTATAGGGGCAGCAGGCTCAGTAGGCCTGTGTGCTGGCAAAGTGTGGCTGTGGTGTCCAGATGTCTGCCAGCTGTGAAGTGGGAAAACTCAGTTTTTGCTGCTGTACCCTTGATTGAATTCGTGTACCCCCAGTGGTGGCTCATAGGGGTAACCCAGAGCCGATTGCCAGGGTGGTGCACTCAGATAGGCCCTTGTACTGAAGCTGAATTACTGAGGTCTGTGGGTAGGCAACCAGGAGTGGGGGTAGTTCGAATTTCTACTGCCAGAGCCTTATGCTCTTGGTTGGATTCGCTCGTGCGCAGTAGTGGCACACTCAGGCACTGAGAGGGGCCCTGGCGCTGAGTTAACTGTGGGCAGGTATCCAGGAAAGGGGAATCCAAAATTTCTACTGCCAGGACAGTGGGCCTTTGTTTGGATGGGCGCGCGCCCAGTGGAGGCTCACAGCGGCACCCAAGAGCCACTTTTGTGGCCTTGGACTGAGGGTTTCTGTTTCTGCACAGTCAGAGCGCGACCGTGGCGTCCAGATATCAGCAGCTGTGAAGTGGGAAAACTCAGTTTTTGTTGCTGTGCCGTTGGTTGAATTCACATAATTCACATAAGCCCAGTGTTGACTCCCAGGGGTACCCTGGGGCCGATTGCCAGGGCAGTACACTCAGATAGGCCTTGCGCTGAAGCTGTGTGATTGAGGTGTCTCTGAGCAGGCATCCAGGTGTGGGGGGAGTCCGTATTTCTACTGCTGGGGGCCTTATGCCGTTTGTTGGGTTTGCGCACCAAATGGCTGTGCACTCAGGCACCCAGAGGAGCCCTGGTGTTAAATCTGGGTGACAGAGGTGGCTGCAGGGAAGTATCTAAGAAGGGGGAATCCAGAATTTTTACTGCCGGGGCAGTGGGCCCTTGTTTGGGTAAGAGTGTGCCCTGCAGCGGCACCCACTAGCGGCTTGTGGAGTGGTGGGCTCAGGCAGCCTGTGCGCTTGAAAAGTGTGACTATGGTGTTGGAGAAGCGTGACTGTGACATCAGGAGTTGAGCCACTGGGGAGGAGGAAGTGGTACTTACTGCTGCTGAGCAATGCATACTTGGAGGTGGAGGTCTCAGGGTCCGTGGATCTGAGGGTGGGACAGCAGGATTTTGGCTGGAGTGGCAATGCCCAAGTCCTGTCTGGGTGGTGGTGTTGATGAGTTCTTAGAAGAAGCCGCTCTCCCCTTCAAGGTGGCATGGGCTTCGTGTTGTGCCCGAGTCTCGCAGGCCAAGGGGTGCCCGCAATGGTGGTAGTCTCTCCCTGTCCAAGAGAGACTGGTCTGCCAGTGCCTGCTGCTCCTGTTGGATTTAACTGTCACTCACTCACTCACTCACTCACTCACACACACACCACGCACATCCACACACTCTCCTTTCACCCACTCACTCACTCACTCACACCCTCTCCCTCACCTCCATCCTCCATGCTCCCATCTTCTCTCCAGCCTCATGTATTTTGATTACTTAAAAACTCAGCTCAATTCCTTACATAACACACCTTCTAGAGACTAGAGACTCAGAACGTAGTTTAATTCTTTAAATAATATATATATATATATATATATATATATTATTGATTTTTTACAGAGAGGAAAGGAAAGGGACAGAGAGCTAGAAACGTCAATGAGAGAGAAACATTGACCAGCTGCCTCCTGCACACCCCCTACTTGGGATGTGACCACAACCAAGGTATATGCCCTTGACCGGAATTGAATCTGGGACCCTTCAGTCTGTAGACCAACACTCTATCTACTGAGCCAAACTGGTTTCAGCCGTAGTTCAATTCTTATAGTGAATTATGTGGGGATTCTTGTTTTATATTGTAGCATATATCAGGAGAAATGAATTTGAATGTGAGAAGAAGCAATTTCAGCTAAACATTAGAATATGCTTTCTGGAAGGTTAATAGATACAGTAACATTTCATCTCCTTTCTTAAAAATACTTAAGCATGAGATCAACCTGGACTCACTTGATTTAAATTCACAAGTGTAGGAGGCATTAGTTATTTTTCTCTCTATATATATCTTGGTAATCCCCACATGCAATGACTCATAGACTTTCCACATGTTAGGAAATATCCTTGTCTTCAAAGGGACTTTTTATTATTTCTATGCATTGGTCAATTTCCTGTGCATTCTCCATTCTACACGTATATAGACTTATTAAAATATTTAAAATCATATACATATATTATAAAATATAAACATATTTAATATGTGTGTTATCAGCAAATGGCTTTTGACCAGTAAAAAGAAACTATTTAGTGAATGAGTTAAATGAATTATTAAGTGATGAATCATAATGACTACAGTCTTTTTTTCTTCTTCTTTTGTTATTCCTCACCTGAGGTGATCCTTTGGTGCACGGGCCGGCACTCTATCCACTGAGCAACACTGGCCAGAGCTACAG